GGCCAATGTCAAGGTGACTTTACCAATGCCCAGTTCAGAAAAAGTGGGTCATGATCAGTATTCTTCTAATAGCTTATAAATGATTCCAAATGGTGATTTGCTGAACACAGAACACACTGAGTTCTTTCTTTACTGATAACTTGGTCTGTAGCACTAAGGTAAGAGAATACACATTATTCTTGGAACTATTTTCCTCTTGGCCCTTTCCTCTCTCACAAGAACACTTTGGTCATGGTGGCTGAGAGTTATCCCTAAAAGACTCTTATTTCTCACTTTTGCCTTCCATCCTGAGTGAGGACTAAGGAATTTGAGTGTAGCCTGAGCTGAACTTTTCCACCTTAGAAGCTGACCTATCGGCATCATGTTAGTAACCCACCGACACTGGGGTCAGATGTAATGCAATGGATGTGCCTGTACAATCTCTGGGGCATCCCTGGTAGTAAGACCCACAGGGAACCTGATCCAGTTCTCCCCTCTTGGACTTCTCCTGTTTGGGGGCATTTTAGGCCAAGACTCTCAGAATCTGAATCTCTTGTATCTCACAAACCCCCTCTATGCACTCTCTGTTCTAGCTGGACTTGGCGATCTCTCTAGGAATCATCTCTGACTTTGTCAATTTAGCTTTGTACATTCAGCCAACCTGGGGTTTGCTCCTAGCACCATGTGTCCAAGTCCCAGTTCTATTCTCACCTCATTCATAAGATCCAGCCATGCCATCCCATACACCACTCCTCACCCCCCAACACACCATCACTTGTAAGTCACTATTTCATACTGATAGCTAATGTCAAGCCCTCTTGCCCACTTTACGCTGTAAGCTCCAAGATGGCGAGGAACCTGGATTCCTCTTTCTGTAACACCAAAAATACATGTGGATAGACCTATTTCATAACAGAACATACTCTCCAAGGCCCACAGCACTCCCGGTTGATTTAAGAATGGAAAAGAAAATTAAAGATGGGTAGTGAGAGGTCCATTCCGGAGATCTTACAGACGTTTTATTTGCCAGGACTAATTTCAGCCCCCAAATTCTACTCTGAGCCTCTTTCAAATCCCTATCCCCCAAAACCTCTGAACTACAGACACTGCAGTCAGTAGGAGCAGCCCCATTTTCTGAGTTATGTCCTTGCTTGAGAGGGCATTGGCTTGCATACCAGATGTTGAGGACAGAATGTAATAATAACAAGGTTAAAATATATTTAATTATATTCTTCATGATATACCTCTTGTAAGCATTTTACTTTTATTAACTCAGTTATCCTCAAAACAATCTTATAAGGACTAGTAGTACCTTTCCCTCCCTCCAATTTTACAATGTGGTAGATTTAGGTTGGTTGCAAATTCTTGCTACTCCTCCTATTGAGAAATGAGGTTTATACATCATTCCCTGAAAGTGAGACTTGGAAAACTCTCTCCAGGGGTCCTGAGCCTCTATGAAAGGAGTCCTAGAGACACGGAGAGAGACGTGGACCCAGCTGAGTCCAGTATTTCCAGTTTGCCCACCAAGGCACCAGGTGCATGCGTGAAGCCAGACCCTCCAGACCAGAGTAGCCACTGAATGACCTCAGTCAATTCCATGTGAGGCAGAAGAAATGCCTTGCTGAACCCTGCCCAAATTTCTGACCCATAAAACTTTGAGATCTAATGACATAGTTGTTGTTTGAAGCTACTAAGTTATGGCAGGTTGCTCCATAGCAATAGGTAACTACAACATACGTGACTCGCCCAGGGTCACTTAGTTAATACGAAGAGAAACTAGGTTTTAAACCCAGGCTGTCTGACTTCAAGTACATGCATTTTATCATTCTGCTATAGTTTTACCACTGGGAAAAAAAATTAAAATTGTCCAAAGCACACTGATCATCTTAGAGAGAAATCCTTCCACAAGCCATGCCACTTCTGATTGTTAAATGATGACAAGGTACATAATAAAGCCTATCTTGTTTTCTGATTTATTCAATAAATATTTACTGAGCACCTACTAAGTGCCAGACCTTTATTTGAGAATTATCACTTGTCCACCTGCTTTCTCAATGCACCCACCTGCTTTCTCAACCTTAACTTCCTTTTTTATTCAGGGGGGCATCTAGAGACATCCTTCTTTTTTTAAAAAACACTGTTTTACACTGGAGTATAGCTGAGTAACAGTGCTGTGATAGTTTCAGGTGCACAGCAAAGGGACTCAGCCATACATATGCATGTATCCATTCTCCCCCAAACTCCCCTCCTGCTTGGCACCCCAGCTGTGAGTAATTTAACATAGTCCATGCAATTCACAAGTATTTTGTAACAAACTAGAGTATCAGAAAGATCAAAGCGCCTATTACTTACAGGAGGCTAGAGCGTTAGAGGGCCATATCAATTGGAAAACTCTTTTGTTCACACTCACACACAGTTAAGAGCATCACTAAAAGCACTTTGCAGTTCTCCTTTGATCTAAAATCAACATTAACCAAGGTCTATCAGAAATGAACTGCTCAAATGATGTTTTCTTGCCTTACGCTTAAAGAAATAACCGATGAATTTTTAATAAACAGATATTTATACTTGTGAACGCACATGCTTATTTTGTTTCTTCCAGAAGAGTCTACTTTTAGGACAACTCTACTCTAGCAACATTATCAAAGCAAAGGAAGACAGAACAGAGTATCATTTGCGAATGGCTGTAAGATTTCACACATAGGTGAAAACGTGAATGATGGATCTAGTGAACATGAAATCCAGTCTTCCTCCCTTCTTTTTCTTTTTTCTGAAGATTTCCCAGAGATCAAATCTTTATGAGTCCATTTCATTCAAGGAAATTAGCTGTGGCTCACACAGGGCACATGAGAACTCCGGAGACTGACCCTATTCACCCAGAGTCTTCAGAGTCTGGAAACTGTCTTAAACCTTGCGTAGAATCCAAGAGTAGTTGGGTCCTCGGTCCTAACACAAGCTTCACATGATCTACAGAATGTATTTAAGACAGGGATAGACTTGGAGACAGGCAGGCTATTTAGCTTTTATGGAGCCCAGGGCAAAGTTCTTATGGCTAGTTGGCAGAACAAACAGTTCAAAACCCTTGGCATAGTTATTTCCTTTAGCTAATCTTTACAAAGAATATGGGGCTTTTTTATCTGTCATCCCCATCTAATCCAATTTTGCTAGTCTGTTGGCTTTCCTCCAAGACTACTTTATGTATTTATATACCTTTAAAAACAAAGAGCATCAACAGATTTATAACTCATTTCTATAGCCTTTTCTGTAGAAGCAAAAGGAAAGACATGTAGATGTAATCCAATTATTACTGGGCTAAAGGAAAAGAAACACACCAGAAAGGAGGCTGTTAGAGAGGGCATCCTCCAGCTGTCTACAGCTGCTGACCTCTAAAATGACAACAGGTTAAATGATGTTTAGAATCATACTCACTTATAAGACTTTTGTACCTTGTATCCTACTCTGGCTCCCTTAGTTTGTACAAATACTCACCCAATCTGCTCCTATTTATGTATGTGCTGCAGGAAGGAAAGCCCCAGACTGATAATTACCATGGCTTGGTCCCTGAATCCTCATGTAACATTAAATCCTTCTGAGGTCAGTAAAAATTTGGCCTTGAAAAGGACTACAGGACCGTCCATTCCTATGAAGAAAAAGCCATTTGCTCCTCTGCTTCCCACAGGGTTAGTGGAATGTATTCTGACAGAGACAGAACAAGTCTGCCAAGACCTGTGCGGATAGAACTATCCTTTCACCCACAATAAACAGATCTGCTCTTGAGCTATAGAAAGTCATAATAGAAATATATATTGTCTTTTATCTTCTTTTCAGTGAGTATAGTGAAGTGTCAGGAGTTATTGCTTTAATATCAGTAGAGAAAAAGCTATTTTTCTGGAGCACGTGTGAAGGTATACATGTAACAACACGTGCAACTATAAGACTGCTAAGTAACCAGCTTCTTAGTAGCTTTTCTAAAACACATTAAATTGGCCTGATAACATCATCAGTGCATCAGCTTCCAACTGTTCCCGTGGAGTCACATAAGGAATGGTCTGGATAGTTCTACTCAAAGAAAAGGGAAAAGGTAGACAACGCTTGTACCACTGCCTAACTCTCATAAACTTAATTCAGAAGAATGGGAACACATCGGGGGTTTAATTGATTATTGACTTTAGGTTTATAATGCCTTCTGAAGTCAATGGAAGGGTGATGTCAAAGACTCAACTGAACCCCTGGCTAATGTCTTAAAACTAAGAAACAGAAAGGACTGATCTACTGAATCTTCTGCAGATACTAAGTAGACTAGGGGCCATTTTCCCACAAGCAATCGGAATGTCTTATTTTTTGCCAGAGCATTTAAGGCTAAAAATTCGATTAACCTTCTCCCCTCTACTAACTAGATTTATGAGATGCCAAGGAAGTCAGCAAACCATTAGCTTTAGCTTGGGTATAATTACTTTTAAGTGACAAAACAAAAATGTTAACCACAAAACTAAGGACTTCCTACATAGCTAAACTCAAACCTTCACATTTTCTAATGTAATTAGGACCTTGGTCAATATAACATAAAGGAAACGAAGTGGGCCAAAAATAATAAGTGAATGATCAACACTTATCAGATACAAATACTACATTTTATAAGGATTAATTGAACCTCTAGCTTCATCTGCCCTTGAGTTAATGCTACCCACTGGCCTCAAAAATGAACAATTCACGTCCTAGCAAAGCCATCAGGAGGATGCGAATAGAATTGAACTAGGATACAGTCTTTCCTATGATAACAAATTTTCCTTTCCCCCTTTTCCCTTTTGGCTAGTGAAAAGAAAGGTAATAAAATGAGAGGTGGGAGTATTCCATAGTGAAACTTTGCTCATTTTGAATAAGAGCTTTACCATCCTTCCTACAGGCATCCTTCCTACAAACATCGTCATTCAGACACTTTAGCTACGTAGTAACACTGACCATGATAGCAATATCTCAAAGACCAAGATGCGGAGTCAATTAATTGTTGGAGAAAGGCTTACCTGAATGCTGGCTGTAGAGCGATTCTTGCGGGTTGTGGTAGTAGCCATTGTAGTGGTGGTTTCCATGACAGTGGTAGACATTTCTGGTGGCATGGCGGTTGTCTGCGTCGTTCCCAGGATTGATGGGACTTCTCCCACCAGTCGGACACTTCCATTGATTTTAATATTGGGGTTGTTCTCAGCCGCCATGTTCAGTACTTTTAAACCATCATAATAGAGCCCAGAAAGCTGGCCTTGGAAGAGGCGTCCTTTGTCCTTTCCACCGATAGCTATTTGCGCCTGGGTGTTGAAGATGGTTAACTGCCGGCCTAGTGGGTTGGGTGGAGGAAACATCATTATTCCTGTACATTTTCTCTGTTTGCCTTACCTGGTCTGAATGGACCAGACATCAAAACAGGCTTCCTTGAGCAATTGAAAGGAAGAAAATTGGGTAACAAAAATTCAATATAGACATTGGCAAATAACATTTCACTGTTTATCTCTTCCACTGTCTAGCTGAATATCCTAGAGAACCTGAATAAAAGAGTCTCTATATCTTTATCGTGAGGCAGGAGAAATCTTGTTCAGTGATGAGCAGTATTATAGTCTTCCTGGTTATGCAGTTGTGGATGACAGAAAAAAAAAACAGGTGATGAAAATAATAAATCATAAATACTTACTGTACTGATTTTTTAACCTAAAAAGTAACACAATGAAAACTAAAAAGAATTATATATGGCAAATAAAAACTCAGTGAGGTAACACAGAACACTGAATTAAAAAACTAGGTCTGATAATTAAATTAAATTAACTGAAATTAACTTAGATTCTAGTTAAGAGACTTGGATTTATTGTATACTTATAAAAATAAACATTTTGGTCACCAAACACCTCATTTCCTAGAAATCTTCCTAATGCATAATATTCTACCCATACTTGCTATTCAATAAACATCATGACAGATTATTTCCCATCTTTATTAATTTGGAGGAGGGGAGAGATTACAGTCACACAACTAAATCTCCCTCTGAGATATGGAAAATAAGTAGGCATTGATCATGTCAGTGAGAAAAGGGGGAAGAAAAAAAATGTCATTCAGAATCAATGAATTTTAAGTGGAGGAATAGGTGTTAATGAAAAAAGCTACACATAAAACACCTTAAAGTGATATAGAGGTATGCTAATGAATTGAAGCAAAGAGTAGCCCACCTTATTTGAAGTTCCCATTTGGGGAACCATTTATGCTTCTGTGGACAGAAAACTATCAGAATGAAATGATGGTAGAACAGAGGTTAGAAATAGTGTAACTCAACTTATCTTCCCCCCCAACTATTCCTACTTTAAAAAGCCTCTCTTAAGTTTGAGATGTTTCCCAGAAAAATCTAAATAGCTTTTAAAGCTTAGAGCCTTCTATTCTATTATTTCTCCAGATTATTTTCTTCTGTTTTTCCATATGGAGAAAGGTGGGAAAAATTTTTAATGGAATTAAATATATCCTTTCTGAATTTTTCTCCATTTTAGTCAGTGATCAAACAATGCTTCATTTATTCTTAATCTAATTGCCTGAATATTTTTAGCTATTAATGCCTGGAAACAATGTTCTGATACATTTGCCTTTTTAATAAAAGGGAGTATATATTTTTAAAGACTGAAGTTTTTGTATAATCTCAAATATGAATGGAGGCATGCTGTGATATTTGGGCGCTTAACCTCTACCACTATTACATGGCCTTTAAGCCTACACAGTGATTAGCGATCCTTGAATTTCTGGTGTATAATGTGGAATCCCTACTCAATGTAGAAAAACGGATGAAACAGAAGGGACAGAGAAGGGAAAATGCATCTGCTCAGAGGGAGTTCTTTGTACAAGACCCAGCTCCACTCATTGGGCAATGCTTAAGGGCATATTAGTCAAGAATGATTTATAACCAATACCCCTTTGGAAGCTTCAAACACTACACTACACTATGATGAGTTGGACAGATAATTTTGTTATAGTGAAAATAATCTCTATAAAAACATCTGGAGCATGGAAATGGAATCTGCTGGCTTTAATGATAACAGAATTGCCCAGATCCTAAGGGTCCAATCAAATAGATCTAATAGATTTCCATTATTTTCCCACCAATTCCTTCAGTGCCCTGTGCACATGCATCATTGCCTATCATTTGGCCTCTCATTTCTCACATAAGATGCAGCAAAAAGTTCAATGCCCAATAATACTGGGTAATGGCCTGGAGCTCTTACCTCTTTACTGTTTATTTTTTGACAACAGCTTTATTCTGGGAGCCCTAAGCTTACTATAAAAAGAAATGCCAGGCTTCCCTGGTGGCGCAGTGGTTGAGGGTCCGCCTGCCGATGCAGGGGACGCCGGTTCGTGCCCCAGTCCGGGAGGATCCCACATGCCGCGGAGCGGCTGCGCCCGTGGGCCATGGCCGCTGGGCCTGCGCGTCCGGAGCCTGGGCTCCGCAACGGGAGGGGCGACGGCAGTGAGAGGCCCACGTACCGCAAAAAAAAAAAAAAAAAAAAAAAAAAAAAAAAAAAAAA